GTTGCCGAGATCGGGGCCCCGTCGGGCCGGGCGCTGCCCGGACACGGAGTCGCCGAGATCGGGGCCCCGTCGGGCCGGGCGCTGCCCGGACACGGAGTCGCCGAGATCGGGGCCCCGTCGGGCCGGGCGCTGCCCGGACACGGAGTCGCCGAGATCGGGGCCCCCCTCGCACTAGGTGTGGCCTGGACACATGTGTTGGGAGCCAGGGCTGCGCTGTGGGGCCGTGTGGAGGGCAGTTGTGGGGCCCAGGGCGAGCCAGGGCCCGGCGCGCCGGGTGCCCTTTGCCCTTTGCCGGTGGCTGCAGTGGGGCGCTGGGGGATCCCGCGACAGGTGGCACCTGTCTCTGGCTGTCTGGGCCGAGCTGGATTTCACTGACGCTGCGGATCAGTTTCAGCTGCGGGTATTTAAAACCGGCCTGATGCCCACCCTGCCCCCAGCCATGGTCCCTCCCTCCCGCCCCATCACGGGCCCCACCTCTGCCTGGCCCTGTACCCCCATGTTCCCCCCAACCCCAGCTCCAGCCCGTGCTGACGCTAAGCCAGACGGAAAAACCAGGTGGGAGTGAGATGGGCTCTGCTCCCTACTGGAGTGTGGGGTGGGGTGGGGGGGGCAGCCAGGACTCCTGGGTTCCATCTCCAGCTCTGGTGGGGGGGCGTGGTGTCTAGGGTGTAGAGCAGGGGGGCTGGGAGCCAGGACTCCGGGGTTTTGGGGGGGCTGATTCCCCTCTCTGGGTGCCTGATGGGCGGTTCGGGGGCAGGGCTGGGTGCTGGGGGGTGGGGTGGCCTGCAGCCGGGCGAGATGAGCTCATGCGTCTTTCCCCAGCTAAAGTTTCCAGGATTAAATCACGCCCGGGACTGACGCCATTGATAAATATAGACCCAGCTGGGCCAGCTCCGCTCCGACCACTAGACACCACTCCCCTTCCCCAGCCAGGGACTGAACCCAGGAGTCCTGGCTCCCAGCCCCCCCCTCCCCCCCGCTCTAACCAGTAGGCCCCACTCTCCACCCAAAGCCAGGGAGAGAACCCAGGAGTCCTGGCTCCCAGCCCCCCCCCTCGCTCTAACCACTAGGCCCCCCTCCCCTCCCAGAGCCGGGGAGAGGACCCAGGAGTCCTGGCTCCCAGCCCCCACCACAAACACCCCAGCAGGGGCAGCATTGGTCTCTGTCCCACACACTC